GCCTAAGGAAATGAAAATTGTACAGTACCATCCGGTTCCGAAACAGGTTCGCGCCACTATTTACGAAAACTCACCGATTTTGCTAGGTACGGGGTTTGGTACTCATAGTATAATATCCGGCTAATATCCCTTGTTTTTCTGGGTTCGTCCGGGGGCCGGTTGCGTTGAGGACGATGTCTCTGCTTCGTTTTGTGCCCGAATACACACCGCCCTCCAAGGAGAATATCAGGGAATTTCTGGATGTGCTAAAAACAGTGAAGCATTTGGTTGTTATGACCGGAGCCGGCATATCGACGGAATCCGGAATTCCGGACTATCGCTCTCCCAAAGTTGGCCAGTATGCGCGAACCAACCATCGCCCGGTGATGCATCAGGATTTTATGAATTCGCTCTACATCCGCAAACGCTATTGGACGAGGAACTACGTTGCCTGGCCCAGGTTCTCGGCTTCACAGCCCAACGAAACACACAAAACGATTGCGAACTGGGAGAACAGCGAGCGCTTCAAGTGGCTGATCACGCAGAACGTGGACGGCCTGCACACGGCAGCCGGATCGCGCAAGCTCAGCGAGCTGCACGGATGCGGCAGACGGGTGGTGTGCATGCAGTGCAAGGTGGTGTACCCGCGGGAGACGGTGCAGAAGTGGATGGAGGAGGCGAATGCGAGCTGGTGCGTGGAGGAGATCGGCGAGCTGGCGCCCGACGGCGACTGCGACATCCCGGAGAAAGCGGTGCACAACTTCAATTTGCCCAAGTGCCCGAGCTGTGGGCCCAAATCAATCCTCAAAACAGACGTGGTCTTCTTCGGCGGCTTCATCGATCCCGCGGTGCACGAGAAGTGCTCGGAGATGGTCGATGCGGCCGATGGCCTGCTCGTACTTGGCTCCTCGTTGACCGTGCTCTCCGGCTATCGCTACGTGGAGCAGGCGTACCGTCGATCGATTCCGATTCTGATCGTCAACATTGGTGCAACAGATGCCGATCAGATCGCCACCGTGAAGATATCCGCGAAATGCTCGGATGTCATCAAGCATGTACCAGCGCT